CGACACTCTAATCGGAAGATATATCGTGAAAACCAATTTAATAGGAACATACTATCAACAACCTCTGGAGTGAGTGCATCATTATGTGGGTTTGATGACACTCGTCATCCTCCTCTATCTGTTTAGCGAGATGAAATATGTTGACTTCTAGAGTTATATTCCCAAATGATAGTTTCATAAAACCATTCCTACAATTAATCAGAGCATTAGCAGTAACAAGAAAATGTCTACCAAGAATAATAGGAATTTTAGAATCGACATTCACGTCAACTTTTACATCCAAAATCAAGAAATCAACGAGGTAGTAAAATTTATTAATTTGAACCAAGACATCCTCAACTACTCCCCTAGGTCTAATAGTAGACTTATCAACTAATTGCTGAGCTACAGATATAGGCTTCATCTCACCCAAACCTAACGAGAAGTAAATAGTATAAGACATGAGATTGACACTAGCTCCTAAATCAAGAAGGGTTTGTCCAAACTCATGATTCCCGATGACACAAGACACAGTAGGACAACCAGGGCCCTATACTTTGGCAGGATCCTTTGTGAAATCACAGCACTCGCTTGCTCAATCAAGAAATAGATTTTCTTAATATTGTGCTTCCTTTTGACAGTGCATAAGTCCTTAAGGACTTTAGCATAAGTAGGAACCTGTGAAATTATATGCAAGAGAGGCAAATTGATTTTTACTTGTTTTAGATGTCCTAAGATCTCATTATATTGATAAGCAGATTTTGAGGTAGACTTAAGAGCTAGTGGGAAATGTACTCTTACTGGATTTTCAGTACCTCCTCATTAGGGTTACTATCTTCAGGTTCACTAGACTCTTTTTCAGTTTCCCTAGGTTTGGGGATTGGTTCTATGACTTTCTCTGATCTAGTGATTACAACATTCACTTCCCTAAGATTATTTTCATTTGAACGGTTTGTGCAATGTGCTGCCCTTTAGGATTTGGTTGAGATTGAGCTGAGAATTTCCCCGTTCCACTACTACTTAGGCACTAGTTAGTTTGGAGATATGATTTTTGATTTCCTTGTTTTTTTCAACAATTTGGGTAATCATAGTCTCAAATTTTTGATTGGTTTTACTTTGTACCTCAATGAATGCATGTGGGGTGTCTTCTAAGGAGTTCCTAGAAGTTGTAGGCTGGTATAAAGGTATATTAAAAACTCTAGGTAGCTGGGTAGGTTGCTGGTTTTCAGATTTCTAGCTAAAGTTGGGATGATTTCGCCACCCCTGATTATAGATATCAGAAAAATGAGCGTATGGCTTGTTATATGTGCCTAAGGTATTGCAATTTTTCTCATAACCCCCCTCATCTTAGCGAAAGCAGAACACTCATGCACCGGATGATCAATTCCACCGCACACACCACATGGTCCAAAAGATTCAACACGGGCAACGGTAGGTATAGGCTTTGAGTTCTTAGTGCGTAGGGTTTCAATTTCTCTAGTTAAAGCTTCCACTTTAACTCTAAGACTATCTTCTTCTCTAAGATGATAAATGTCTGCACTATAAGGATTTCCTACGAGTCGTGACCTATTAGTGTTATCAGTGGCACTAGGGTCAGTCCAACTGTGAGCTTTTTCAACTAAGTCATCTAAGTACTCTATGGCCTCATCAGGATTTTTTTGCAAGAACTCACCATTACACATCATCTCAATAAATTAACGCTCCGTAGGTTTTAATCCCTCATAAAAATAACTCACTATTCGCCAGCTCTCATAACCATGATGGGGGCAAAGAGCTTGTAACTCTTTGTATCGTTCCCATGCTTGCTATAAGGTTTCAATGTCTTTTTGATTGAATGAAGAAATTTGTTTCTTCAACACACTAGTTTTATGATGGGAAAAATATTTGTTGAAGAAAGATTGAGTGATTTCACCACATGTTCCAATCGAACGTGGTCTTAGCGAATACATCCAGCTTTTTGCTCTATTTTTTAGTGAGAATGGGAAAAATTTAAGCTTAACTGCATCCGGTGTACCATGTTGATTGTAGAAGGTTGCAATCACATCCTCAAATTTTCTAATATGCACGTATGAATTTTCATTTTCAAGTCCATGAAACGTGGGAAGAAGTTGAATCATACTCGGTTTAAGGTCCATACGTGGCATATTAGGTGGAAAAATAATGCATGATAGTATGGATGTGCGTGTGGGGTGAATATAATCATGTAAAGTCTTAAAAGTTGCATCATGCTCACTATCACTCATGGTGTTGTGCGATGAAGTGTCAGTTTTAATAGATGCAGAATAAAAAGCAGGGTTAAAAAGAGATTCAAACTATGTATCAGGTCTTTCAGCAGATCTTCTACGCTCTCCTCGATACCTGCTCATAAAACACAAATAAAAAGAAAATAAAGAATAACAAATAAAATACTAAATTGAAATAAGGGAGTTAGGAAAGGAACGAAGTCACCCTTTTACAATTGAATCCCTTAATTTTTTGTACCGTCTCCCCAGCAACAACACCAAAATTTGATTACGCCCAAAGAATAACGCGGTAGTTTTAGTGCAGCTTTGGGATGTCGTATCCACACGGAGATGGAAAATGGTTAAGGGTTCCAAAAAGGGATGAGTTATCGTCTACAATGTGTAATGAAATTCTATGTTGAAAGATGAAATTAAAATCAATGATTTGAGACAGTGAAATGTTGAAATTCACTCAATTGGATTGGATCATTCACATCAATTATTCCATTTTTATAGCACAATTAGAGGTTTTCATCCCGACACTCTAATCGGAAGATATATCGTGAAAACCAATTTAATTCACAAGTGTAATTCTAGAATCTAGACTTAAGACATATTCGCACAATATTATTGGAACAAGATCAAAGATCGACCATATACATCAAGTATAAGGCAGTAATCAATCCACTAATAAAATGAAATTAAGATTAAAATTCAACAATTAGTTCAATTTAATGATAGAAAAAGCATGACTGAATCTATAAAGAATTTAATAAAAGTTAAATTAATCTCAACAATAAGTAATTGAAATTGAAACTTAATAAATAGTTTGATCAAACAATGGAAAAAGCATGACTGAATCCATGAAAAGTCTAGTAATTATTAAACCTATTTCAATATAAATTTATGAAAAGAAAAGTATAAATTCTAAGATTATTCAGCAAGAAAAGACCAATTACATGAAATAATAGATGTGAAATTACTATATCGAATTGAGTTCCTCCATTTCTTCACCAAGAGATTCATTTTTTCATGAGTTTCTTGAGCAAAAAGAGATGAAATGATGAATAATAATGAGGAATGAGGCGTTCTGGAACGTTTTTAGGGTCCTTGATGGTTGAGAAATCGTGCCAAAATAATTTACCATAAGTGTTTAAGTTGTAGAAGGAAACTAGAATTTTCGTCAAGTTTTGGCTTGAGGTGTGTGCCATAAGGATTTTGGCAGCCTCAACTGAGGCTACCTTGGTGAGGTGCGCGCCTCTCCTGCAGGCGAGGGCGCGTTCCTTACAGTATATTTTTGGACCATAACTTTATTTCCTGATGTCTGATCGACGTGATTCAAGATGCGTTAAAAAGTTAACTCAAATGGCTACAACTTTGCTTCAGATACCATCTTTGAATTCGATTATTTTCCATGACAAAAACTGGTTTCAATATGAGGCTGAAAACCGATGCAAAATTTTTCAGTTTGAAAGTTGATATGTGATAATGTCTTGGCTATATTTCATCCATTTGACTCTTTTCTTCATCCAATTGACCTATAACACTCCTGAATCTTCATCACAAGGATAGAAACAAGTTTAGAGTATTTGCACTTTGTCCCTGAATTTTCACTTTCTTCTATTTTGTTTGTTTCTCATTTGTTTCTCCTTATTTCCGTTACATTCATCACTTGTCCTACAAAATATCAATTACATAGAATTAAGCTCTATTCCAATATATTAATTAATAATTTCCATGTTTTAATAGTAAGATAAGTGTGTAAAAATACACTTATCAGTCATTCATGACCAGATTTATTATTCATGACCGGACCTATGTTATATATAATTATCTGTGACCAAATTTTCCTTAAGTGGGACTATCTGTGACAGTCTAATTTGTGGTTGTATGTAACTAAATCACTAACATGTTTTGTGTGTCTAACTGTGAACAAATTTGTTTTCAGTGTAACTGTTTGTGGTAGTCTAATTTGTGGTTGTATGTAACCAAGTCACTAACATATATTATTTGTGACTAACTGTAATCAAAATTGTCTTCAGTGCGACTAATTGTGACCAAATTTGTCTTCAATTGACTATCTACAATTATGTCAATCTTAATTGTGATGGGTGATGGTATGTGACTAAATCATAACCAATCACAATTAACACAGAATTGATCACAACCAATCACAATAAATACATACTTGATCATAGAGGGTTATCACAAGCAAATCTGCTCACACTGTAAACCAGCACCACAACCACCACCAGTCACCACCACGGTCACCTCCAATACACCATCAATACCATCTTCAACTCAAATCCACGACCTTAAATACTACTTTCACCTCAAATACACAACAACAATCACCACCACCACCACATGTAGATCAACACAACTGCAGATTCATACCACCCACAGATCTACACACCACTGCACAGATTCTCATACACCAGGAACAATGGTGTTGGAATTTCCACCTTTCCCGCAACCATGTTCTCATTCATGATAGATCGGAAGAAAATCGAAATCCCCATCCAAAATTTACAATCATTTAGAAGTTGGAACTCAGTTTCAATTTCAATTTCTTATTCATTTCTCCGATTTTCACAGGGATGACACCATTACCAGAAATTTCAAAATCTTGCTATAACAACCTATCTAACTTAGTAGAAAATTAAAGAATTTACAAAGTTTCAACACTCATTATTTTTACAATCAGTAATCGCAAAATGTAGTATCAATAAACAACGATTTGATCATGCCTATATAATTAATATAGCTTGGTCAAAAGCATTCTAAGTTACAGCTTTTATGCCAAATACTTTACAAAACTTTCACTTCAGTTTCACTCGTCTCAGCTTAAGGTACCTCTCTTCCCTGGCGTTAATTAGCACCGCCGTGAAGCATTTGACGACATTGTCGGAGCAACCTCCAACAACCTCGTTGATCATCGCTACATCAGCGACGCCTTGTTGCGCTGCCTTATGCTGTGGTTCTCTAAGGGAAAGAAGAGGTGGGTGTCGCGCGCAACGACTTCGGAAATAAGGAGCAGGTGAGTAGTGATGAGTGATTAAGAAAGAAGGAAGAGAAAATGATGATTTAAGGAGAATTAGTTGTGATAGCCATCCCTCAATATCATTTTGTTCAAAAGGCCTTTGACTAATTTCTAAAAAATAAAAGAAAATTTAATTATTTTAAATTTTCAAAAGTCCACTTTACCCTTCCCTTACTTAACCAAATAAATGAAGGATTTTGTATTTTCCCTTCATTCATTGACGTAAAACCTTTCTTTCCCAAATTCACAATTGCAAAATTAAATATTCTTCTCCTTCAAATTCCCAAGAACTTTTAATTCAAATCAAAAACAATATTTCTCCTTTTTCTTTTGAGGTCGAAGATTGTGCAGAGTTTTAAAATTAACAGTTTTATCTGTCAAGTGTTGTGGTTCGAATCTAACTTCTGTGTTCCAAAAAATGACGAGCTCACAGTTAGAAAAATCAATTTAATTTTTCAAACCAGCAAGGAGTTCTAGGTATAGTGTTCAAGTTGTGTTTAATTTTATCTGTACAATATATTCTTCTTCCCGACTAGTCCTCCTATTGAGTTTTTAAGTTTATTCTAATGAAAATTACATTTTTTTTGTTATAAAGATCATTTCTGTAGCTTTTATTCAAGTTCTTTTTGAAATATTTGCATTTGAAATTCATATTGGGGTTTGGTGGTTTTGGAGTTTTGATTCATCACTTGATATTTAGCAAATTCGTTTTATTAAGTTCTATAATATTTTTTGGGGGGGTTTCATTTCCTGTTTATTTTCTTAATTATGTGGTTTTGTATATTTTATATATACTGTTATTTGTATCTATTAAGGGAAAAATGAATTCATTGAAAATCTTATGGCTATTTGTAGTTTAATTACTCAATGGATTTAATATTTATAATTGTTCTGTCTACTTTATTATCTTTGAAATTAGTCCAGATTCAGTTTATCTTATATTCTATCTATATATATTATGCGTGTGTGTTTGTTTCTGTATTGTAAACAGGTTTTTGACTTGCAAGAGTTTTTAGGTTGATATTCGTTACATGGCCTTCTCCTCGCTATAATGGTATGAATAAACAATACACTTGACTTTTAGTATTTTTTTATATATAAATTTGTGTTGTAAGAAAATAATATTTGTTTTACAATATATTTGGGCATTCGAAGCGATTCCAACTTTGAGAAATGAAGTTTGCTACAAAATATCCGAATGCAATTCCAAGAATGGTAGCTTGGGAAATGCCGAAGATGTTAGCTTCTGCAGCCATCGATAACGTATTGGAATAGAAAGAGGTAAATTGCCTTTGTTTTTTAAAGTTTAGTGGGGACAAATTGTGGAATTAGCTTAGCGAATGACTAATGATTTGCACGATTTAATATTTGTAGCTGGAGGTTAATTATACATCAATTCCCATTAAAGCGAACTCGGAGAGGTTTATTAGAAAGAGTTGACACTGATCGTGAAAGAAGATGAGAATACTTCACACCATTCCAAAAGAGATGAGGTTGAACATGATACCGAACCACATCATGCCTTCCACCAAAACTCTCCTAATGCATCTCAACCACCACTGGTATCTTATGAGCTCAACATAGCAAATTTATTGAGAAAAAACTCGAGAGAAGGCTACAAGCAGTCATTTCAAGTTTACATATGGTATATGTCCAATATGTTGATATTGTGCATATTTACATAACGATATACACTTTGTTCTTGTGACATAAAGTAGTTGATGTTGTTCTAGTACAAAAATGCACTCATTCAAATAATGACGTTGAAATTGTTTCTGAGACACAAAAACGATGTAGATGTCGTTCCAATAAGAAAATTACACAGATTAACATAATCATATTGAAATCGTTCCTGAAACATACAATGATTTAGATATCGTTTCAGTATCAAATACACACAATTTCGCTGATTTTCATACCGATATAGAAGTCATTATGCTATACATAACGACATCGAAGTCATTCTTCAAACATGGCGAGCACCTAGTATGATCTAAGGCGCCCGCCCGCTGTAATTGGTTATTTTTAATAGCTGCCCAGGCGAGCACCATCCCCAGGCTTAGGCGCGCACCTAGATGACTTTTACTTTCTTTTCAATTTAATCCTCCAAGTAATTGCAACCTAACCCTCCCACATACATCTTGCACAATTTACTCATTGAATTTTAACGATCCTTTCAATTAGGCCCTCAATAAATTGCCCATTAGGTCCTTACACTTTCCAAATTGTAATTTCATTCTCAAAAGCCACGAAGTAAGAAAACGACATCCATGTTGTTTCAGTACAATTTTTTTACGGCAGTGATAGTTTTACAACTTTATATCATAATTAAAATGACATAGATATTGTTTCAGTTCATGGGTAACGACGATGCATTCATTTCAATTAAAATCAAACTAAAATGACCTATTTATCGTTTGTTTCATGCTTAACGACATTGAAATAATTTCAATTAAAATCATAACTAAAACGACATAGATATCGTTTCCTTTCATGCTAACAACATTGAAGTCATTTTAATTAAAATCATAACTAAAATGACATACATATCATTTCTTTTCATGCGTAACGTCATTGAACTCGTTTCAGTCAAAATCATACCTAAAACGATATAGATATTGTTTCTTTCATATAGAACGACAATGATATCGTGATGTGTCAAACTTACGAAATAACATAACGGCATTTATATCGTTTAGATACAAATTTTACAACTTTGAACTCGTTTCAGTTAAAATTGTAACTAAAATGATATAAATATTGTTTATTTTCTTATAGAACGACAATGATATCGTTCTAGTTCAAACCATAACTACAACGACATTGATTTCGTTATGTATCAAACCTACGGAACAACATAATGATATCCATGTTGTTTCAATACAAATTTTCTGAGATTGAGTTCGTTCCAGTTCAAATCATAATTAAAACGACATTGAAGTCGTTTCTTATAGAAGGTAACAACATTTATATATCATTATGCATCAAACTCACGAAACAACATAACAACATCCATATCGTTTCAGTACAAATTTGTCGAGATTGAAATGGTTCTAATTCAAATCACAACTACAACGACATTGAAGTAGTTTCTTTTCATACAAAACGATAATTATCATTTTGACTAAAAACGACGATTTGACCGTCCACGATCGCCGGTCATGTCTCCAAAATACGTAGGACGATCAAAAGAGGTTATCAAGTAGGTTCGATCTTACACAAAAGAAACTATAGGAACATTTTTATTCTCATACTTGTCTAGCACCATCAAACTATGTAATTATCGTTCAAGCGGTATCAACGCACTTGATGACCTCCTTCAATCGTCCTACGTATGTCGGAGGCATGCCAGGTGGTTGTGGACAGTCGAATCGTTGTTTTTAGCAGAAACGATGTAACGTTTTATATAAATTAAAACGATATATATGATTTTAGTTATGATTTAAACTAAAGCGATATCAATGTCATTAAAATTGTACTAAAACGATAAAGATATCGTATGTATCAAATTCATGAAATAATATAATGACATTCATATTGTTTTAGTACAAATTTGGCGAGTTTGAAATTGTTTCAATTCAAATTATAACTACAACGACATATATATCATTTTCTTTCATATAAAACGATAATTATATCGTTTTGCTAAAAAAAATCCGATCGTCCACAGCCACATGCATGCCTTCAACATACATAAGATGGTCGAAAAAGGTTATCAAGTGGGTTGATATCACTCAAATGGTTTAGAAAAAACGAATGAAAATACTTTCTTTCGCTGGAATAGGTCAAATGTGGTATATAATTATGGGAACACAAAAGTTTCTTTTGAGTGAGATCGATCATACCTGATAACCTATTTCGATCATCCTACATACGAATATCGTTACGTTATTTCATGAGTTTGATACTTATGATTTGTTGTCATTTTTTAAAATTGCATGAGAAAATGTATCCGTTGAATGAATGACGAAAGTTTGGAAATCGAAACGTTAACCCAAAAAAATTTTGTTGGCGCGTGTGCCTCTGAGTTTTTTACCACCCAAGAGCAAATGGTCCCTTGAAACGATATCAATATATTTTTGTGTATTAGGAACAATTTTAATGTCGTTATGTGAATCAATACATTTTTCATATTAGAACGACATTTGCATCAACTATAACGATATAAAAGTCGTTTATCTGTAATGAGAAAAAAAATAAACAGAGTAATGTAAAATGACTTTAATTTTTTTCCAATAGTACAAAAGCGATAATAGCACAATGACTACAAAAATCTATTAAATCACTTTGTGTTTCTAGTAAGTACAAAATAATAAAGTTACAAGTCACGACAATATTACAACTTTAAGTTTTATTACCAGTTTGGCCCGTACAAATGGAGCGAAAAAGACCAATTTCTTGCCTTTGAAGCCTTAGCCATCATATGGACAATAGTTGACATCTCCACTTTGTATATCATTGTACCACTCTTCAACATCTCTCCGACTTTATCATGCAAGTTCACACAAAAAATTATTTTCGAAACAAGAATAAACGTTTTTTTTTCATACACCTTCAATTGACTGTTAATATTCAACTAGATAGCAAACTAATATCCATATTATATTCACTGTATCCATAATTGCAATTTAACATTAAAAAATTAAAATTTCATCAATTATCAAATTTTCGTACAGTACTGATTATGATATGTATGTCGTTATGAATTGCAAAAAAAAAAAAAATGATATGTAAGTCTTTTTTATACAGCAGAAAATCAAATCTATATTTCACAGTAGAACAAAAGATAGAATAGCCAAATTTGTCTTTACGAACGTATATTTCACTTCAACTAATAGAAAAAATAGGTTGGGAAGCAACCCATATCAAAGCTCTAATCCATTGATAAAATGAATTCAAAATCATTGTTGTCAAATGAACACCATAAACACACATACAACTACACGAAGAAATTATTCAGAAAAATGGAAAAAGAAATAAGCCCAAATATAGAAAATTAACAATACCTTATATTCTTCTCCAAATGCTCAACAAGAATATCATAAACTTTGATTATCCACTTCAACCAAATGAGTGCTCAGGGAATGAAAATGTAGATTTTATGGTTTAATGAAGTAAAGAAGATGATGATAAGAAAATAAAAAAGGGTTCATAGAAGATGTCGTAGCCGGTTGTGGGAGGAAGGAAAACTAAAATTCCATTAGAACTAAATGAGAATTGAAATGAGAATTAGGGCAATTAATGCATTTTTTACCTATAAGGAAATTTTAGTAATTTACAAATTCCATTTTCATTTATTTGTATGTTTAGGCTACCTAACTAAAAAGGATAGATGTTGGTCTTTATAAACTAATTTTTTCTTTGACTGGACCTTTTAAATGAAAGCCCCATGATTTAATGGGGGGTGTCGTAGGTCGGTATGTAGACTAGGTTTAATTGAATTTTTATTATTATAATTATTAAAACCTAATTATATCGAAATTTAAAACAATCCTCCTTCTTTATGAAAATTAATCTTTAAATATATGTTTCTAGGTAATTTTCCATTTTAAAAGTTTTACTCGAACGATCAAATTCTGATTGAGAATGTCCATTATACTTTCTTTTTTTTTTTTCCGGAAAAATGATTGAAATCTTTATAGTGTTTATATTTTGGGTCTGTTTGAGCCCAATTTTTTTGGTGTATGATGCATTTTGAAATATTAGATTACTGGAGAATGTGAAGTTAAAAAATGAAAAAAAAAAATTTGAATTGTGTGCAATATTATTTTAAATGTATTTTGAAAAAAAAAAATAGGGATCAAATAAAAGCACAAATCTATGTACATTTCATCCTCTTAATACATAACAAATATAATGAATTCAAATGTAAAATGGATATTAACCCAAAAAAAACAAAAAAACAAAAAAAAAAAAACCGAAAAGGTGGATGAGACACGTTTGGAACATGGATAGACTTCAAATTCTCATAAAATAGCCCATCTATAATGCAACAATTACATAAACCGAACATGGATGGACAAGTGCAAAAACGTTAAAAACGACGTATGCATTTCGATCTAAAGAACAGCTAATAGATATTATTTGTTCATAGAATCCAAAAATTAATAATGTTGTAAATATCTTCGACAATATATCCATTGTGGGGCCACGTTTCTACTATAATTAGTACATTGACATTTTCTGTTTGCAGCATTTTTATTTTACTTCAAAACATACAATCCATGCAATACATACTCCTTTTGTCCCTTTCCATTTACTCAATGCACATGATTTCACACGATGGAGAGTGGAGACTCGATGTCTAGCGCAACATCTCGTATTATTACTCAATTTGTAAGTTCTCTGGCACGATGCGAGTTTACGAATTTAACGTGTTAAGATATTCATATTTCAATGAATTGTATTTATGATTAACTCAACGTGTATAAATTGAAACATATATGATCGATCAAATATCACATACCATCCAAATGAATTTTTAGAATTTCAATGTAAGATGAAAAATGGGTCAAGATTAATTGCTATAATGAACATTTCATATTTGGATGACTAGGTTCAGATTAGAGGTTTGGTAATTTGCACCATCATCAAAGTCCAACGATCCATTCACCCACCAACCCCTTTTGACCTAAAAAGTCAAAAAAAGCAATTCATATGAAACCTATAATAGAAATTTCTATAGTAAATTTCGAGTTGAGCCTAAAAAATGAAGTTAATAATTTATCGAACATTCTTTTATTGAGATTTTACTCCTGATAGCAAATCATCAGCTTGTGGATTATTTGCATTGTTTTAGCATATTGGTTAGTGAGTTATATTTTTAATTTTTGAGTTTTGTTCTATCATTTTAAACTTGGACCTATCACGTTGAGTTATTTGAAAGGTAGAATTTAAAATTCGATAAGATTGTTAAAAGACCACCATCGTGTTTATTGTTCTTAAATAAGTAATAATAATCGTAATAATAGAAAGAAAAACCTATCTCGTCTACCTAAAGAAAAACATTGATAGTCAATATTCACAACAATCATGACAAAACACGCAAAGAAGGATACATTTCTTTTGCAATTATCCTACTTTCAGTGAAATCTTGATGGAGTCATTAAACTTTAATTTAGTTGACGGTCAAAAAAGAATTAATCTTTTACATGGTTGTTACTCAACATTCTAAAAATGATGAGAGCTACGGAAATATCTTTTAAATTGTAACACCTTTATGACGTGGTGTAGTCAGCATGTCACACGACTGTTACGAAGAAGATTTGTTGTGGTATAATTAGGCAATTTTTAATAATTTGGGAAGATGACAAGTGGCAAAGTGGTGAAATTCGACAATTGATTTGGACATATTAAAGTTTAATAACTCGATTGAGATTTGGACGAAGAATTTTAATGAATACAGATGAAATTTACTCCAGAAAAACCAATATCAATGTCATCTCTTAACAAGAAAATATGGACGATCAATTTTCATCGACAACCTTTGACCAAAAAAGGTCAAAAAATATATCACCAACTAATGAAATGAATGCAAATTTCTAATAATTTACCATCTTTTTTAATTTCCCAAAAATAACGAGGAATGGAGAGTCCAGCCGACGACAGGATGGGGTTGGTGAGTGACCGAGTCAAACCCCGCGTTAATATCCCACCAAATTCCCACACATCAAACGTTTCATAGTAATTTAACTATTTCTGAGCAACCTCAGCCGTGGATCTGAATCCCAACTTCATACTATATATTTACTGTCTGAAATCTTCTTCCCTCGACCTTCGACACTTCTCTCTCTCCTGTACTGCTACACGGCTACACCTCAAGGTACCTGCTAGAGAAGCTGTCTCTCTCTCTCTCTCTCTCTCTCTCTCTCTCTCTATGCATAACACTATAATATGTTTCTTATATTGGTGGTTGCTTTTGATTTTGGCTCAATTCTTAATTTTTTCCAGATAATTTCTGTACTGTGTAAAGCTTGTTTTTGTGTTAGGAGGGTGTTTTTATTGTTTGAATTACCGAAAACAATTATTAATTAGTTATTTCATTACTGTAAGTTATTTTTTGGACGAGAATTCTTGAACCTTACATGTTCGTTGTAATGATTAAGTGTAGCTTACACTTGGGTTTTATAGATCTGTAATTCTTTCTTGGTGTTTTTAGTTCCTTGAGCTAATGAAGGAAATCCGGTGAATTAAGTAATTTTTTGGTGTTGCAGCTTGAAAGAGATGGAGACTTTCTTGTTCACATCTGAATCAGTTAATGAGGGACACCCTGATAAGCTCTGTGACCAGATCTCTGATGCCGTTCTTGATGCCTGCCTCGCGCAGGACCCCGAGAGCAAGGTGGCGTGTGAGACATGCACTAAGACTAACATGGTCATGGTCTTTGGTGAGATCACTACCAAGGCTGATGTAGATTATGAGAAAATTGTGCGTGATACTTGCCGTGCTATTGGTTTTGTATCGGATGATGTAGGCTTGGATGCGGACAAATGCAAGGTTCTTGTTAACATTGAGCAGCAGAGCCCTGATATTGCCCAGGGCGTCCATGGTCACCTCACTAAGCTTCCTGAGGAAATTGGTGCTGGTGACCAGGGCCATATGTTTGGCTATGCCACTGATGAGACCCCTGAATTGATGCCACTCAGCCATGTTCTTGCGACAAAGCTTGGTGCTCGTCTCACTGAAGTTCGCAAGAACGGTACTTGCCCTTGGCTGAGACCTGATGGCAAAACCCAAGTGACAGTTGAGTACTATAACGACAATGGTGCCAAGGTGCCTGTTCGCGTACACACAGTCCTGATCTCCACTCAGCACGATGAGACTGTAACTAATGATGAAATTGCTGCTGATCTCAAGGAGCATGTGATCAAGCCTGTCATTCCTGAAAAGTACCTCGACGAGAAGACTATATTCCACTTGAATCCTTCTGGCCGCTTTGTCATTGGTGGACCTCATGGCGATGCTGGTCTCACCGGTCGCAAGATCATTATCGACACTTATGGAGGATGGGGTGCTCATGGTGGTGGTGCCTTCTCCGGCAAAGACCCCACCAAGGTGGACAGGAGTGGTGCCTACATTGTTAGACAGGCTGCAAAGAGCATTGTTGCCAGTGGACTTGCTAGGAGGTGCATTGTGCAGGTCTCATATGCCATTGGCGTACCCGAGCCCTTGTCAGTGTTCGTGGACACATTCGGAACTGGAAAGATCCCTGACAAGGAAATTCTTAAGATTGTGAAGGAGAGCTTCGATTTCAGGCCCGGTATGATATCCATAAACCTGGATCTTAAGAGGGGTGGCAATAACAGGTTCTTGAAGACTGCTGCTTATGGGCATTTTGGCAGAGACGACCCTGATTTCACATGGGAAGTGATTAAGCCTCTCAAGTGGGATAAGAGTCAAGCTTAATTTACACGTATCCATCTCAAAAACTGAGGCTTAAGGCCTGCCCCATTGATCTATCCAGAAATCTAGCCAATGGCTAATGTCTTGCTCGATTATATTTTAGTTTCTTTCTTTCGATTTGCGTTTAGAGATTACATTAATGTTTCTTTTGTTGTAATTGAAGTAGAGGGGAGTACAGATTAAGCTGTGTCAACTCTCTTCAACGTTTGCTATATAAGATTTATAAAAGATATCCATATTTCTGATGGCCAAGAAGTATACCTATAAATTGTATGCTAAAAATTTAGGGTAAATTGCACATTTCCACCATCAGTGGAGCTAATTGGATCATAATAGCATTAGCTGGATCTTGCACTGCATCATCCACTTGGATCTTTTTAACAAATTGAGAAGATTTAGAAAATAATCTGCTTAATAGATTCCAGAAGTAGATCATCTTCATCTTCAATATCAATCAGATCCAGTCTTCATATCCACCACACCATTACAGGTTAAATTTCTATGCCATTGTAAGAAAGAATAGTCTGGCAAAGCATTATCTTGCACCATAAATTGATCAACACTGAAATTCTGAGTTGGTGCCTTGGAAAAAATATAATTGGTTTCAAGTTGCACCATAAGCTGATTATTGTTTGTAGATGACGGAAAAGAGTTGCTACAACGTGTCATAATATCGAATATTGGAGTTCCATCTTGAAAACTCGAGTAACCTAAACCCTTAGAGCATCTTCACAAGACTATTATAAAGAACATTGTATGTATAATAGAGAACATCTTTAAATTCAGAGTATACACTCTAGCAATGGTCTCCATTTTGGCTCTTCATTTTACTTTTTTTTTTCAATAAATATAGTGATTTCTCCTTATCTTTTATTTAACATATTTTTTATGAAGTAAATGGACATTCATTTCAAATATAATTTGAATTAGTTAAGAATTAAGAGTATTGAAATCTGTTACTCATTAAATGTATTCATTATAAGGTAAAAATAAAGAGTGAATTTGGCTCTTCAACTCCAAACTCACTCTCTATTTTAATTTTGAAACTTATTTTTAAGCATTGACTGTTTAAAACAGAGATCGTATTCTTATATTTAGAGAGTTTGTTTTATGATTCTCTTATAAGTTGGTTATTATTGAGATGGTGACTTGTTTAAAAATACAAATTGTTATGCCTTTGGCACTTTGCCATATGTGTATGACACGTAGGAGTAGGGACATCATGTAGGATGGAATAGCCAATTCACCACGAACCATGTGGAAGCCGCACATGAACAGCAGAGCCTTACGCGAACTAAAGGGCCACCTCTCAACTGTAGAGGAAGACCCTCAATTTGATCAACTCCGGACCCGACAACTTCTCCAGTTGGAACGAACATGAGGCTAAGACCCTTAGCCTCAAAAGAATCCTTCTCCGTCCCATCTCTGACACTGATTCTGATGGCTACGAAGGAAATCCAAAAGATCTTTCTAAATGGGACAAATATCCCTTAACACCCTTATGTCCAGCCACTAAACCTTTCCTTATTTAGGAGGTCCAAGGAACAATATGAGATTCTTGTGGTGATGTGGCAAAGGGAAAGGGCACGTTGCCAGGTGTACAATTGGTTAAAAACCGTACAAAATTAAAGTCATGACATTGACAAAGTCGCTAGACCATCTCAAGAACAATGGCCTTGCATTCTTAGTAGTGTTAAAGTGTGTAGGTAACATATAGATAGACGACGATATTACAGAGATGTGTTGACAACCGAGTCATTTAGATTTGGAGGTCAACACCAATCTTGAAATTCGTCTACTAGTTTGAACTTGTATGCAGATTAAATTAGACTTTGATATCATATTAAAGCTTAACATTTTTCATATTAAAATGTTACCCTTTGTATATTAGTTATTATTTTTGAATTTTACCCTTTGACACCTAAACCTACTTCTCACCTTAGCGAGCGACTGTGCTAAGCCTCTTGACTGTCTTTCAACTTATTCAGCGAATTGCTGGTGTAGAATTGGACATGTTGCCAACACAATGGATCAGATTTCAGAAATTTGTCCTTCGTCGACTCTTCTTAAACTCTTCAGTTTGTGACAGAGAAATTTCTCTCATAATATCTTTAATGGTAGGTGTGTTAGACTCGTATGTATTCATAATGGATTCAATCGAGGATTTCAGAAAGAAAAAACAATTTTTTGCAACATTCGATAGCATCATACTCGTCTCCATTACCTCGTCTCAACTGGGGCTTGAGGCAAAATACGCCGTATGACAGTGCCGTGTTATAGCAGAAAATAAACACCACACCAAAGTGAAAATGGACCAAAATCCAAAGTCATCAAACCAATCCTTTACATCCTTGTTCATTCAAAGTGAATATATTCACATCCCTCTGTTCAAATACACAGACTAAGGTGCAAAGTAAAAAGCAACAGAAAAAAAAACTGCACAAACTGTATCTCATAACAATAAAGCTCCAAGTACATGAAAATTTTAACAGAATTGATATCGACGATGATATGGACGAACATGATTGGCCTTTTTTTTCCCAATCTTCCAATGGTGCCACGCCAAGTGTTGTCTGTCAAAAAAATCTGTACTTATAGCATAATCGATCACATAATGCTGTATCCTGTAAACATTTACCCTTTCTCTAAACCTATAAATCACTTTTGCGTGTCTGCCCACTTGGCTATACTTGACCGTGACTTTTGCTTTCCGACCTCATATTACGATTGCCATTCCTATCTGTATCAGAGTTCTCCTTCCCATTATCAACCACTTGATTCTTCCTCCTTCCACGACCCTGTAGGTTGAACACATAATGTTAGATGACTATTTATAACCAAACATACATGATTCAAAAAGCTTACAATTCAAACCAAGTTTAACTAAAATCACAAACATTCAATAATTTGATATAAATTTTGATAAAGTGAAAAACTAACATCTCGTTGCAGTGGATATTCGTCCGACTCGATCATTCGCACAACTTGACTCATTGTTGGCCTTTTGTCAGAGTCTGGATCAACACACCTTAAGGCAGTCAAAAGAGCTCGTTTCAGGGCAGATGTTGATGGCCGAGTCTCAATATTGGGATCAACCACTTCTTCTGACCGTCTGGCTCCTACCATCATCTTGAGCCAGTCGACCAAATTCACCTGCAAGAAAATCAGATGGCATTGTTATACTTAGAACTTTTTGAAACATGAGAATGCAGCTACTAAGGAAAATTAGGCTTCCAAAAAGTCAAAAACTCAAATTTGCATTTTTAAGTTACTCTTTCTATAGTTCCAACCTGGATGTCAGTACGTACTTCATAGTATTCAGAACTGAATTCAAATTTTTAATTTCAAAACGACAATACTGGAACTAATTCACTAATGGCATGTTTAAACGGCCCAAGAACTTTCCATAACAAGGCTAGATGAATAATCATCTCTTTGCCATTACTCTAAGGGGTCCGTTTGATTGTAAATGTGAAAAATGGGTGGAAAGAAAATGTTTTACAGAGAATTGAATTGCCTAGAAATTGTTTTACTGAGAATTGTAATTAAATGTGTTTGATTGGTATAATTTTCCACCTGGAAAATGTTGGAAGTTTGGTGTCCGTTTGACTTCGTTTTTCATGGACAGTGTCCATTAAAGTGATAATTTTTTCTACTATTGGGTCTAGAATTTGTTCCAATTGCCAAAAAGTAAAAATAAAAAATACCATACCGAATACAATTCGTTTAACTTTGTTTTACATGAAAATTGTCAATAAAGTGAGAAATTTTTTTACCATTGTGTCTAGAAGAATTTCCAATTGCCAAAACAAAAAAAAAGATGTAAAACATATTCTCACCAAAACCAAAGGAAAACATATTCCTTAAAAAGCAAGTAAAGAGGCGCGTGAAGTGGTCACTTGGAAAACAAATTCCCTAGAAAACTAAGCATATCAAACAACCATAAAGTTGGAAAATGGATTGCTTGAAGTGGTCACTTGGAAAACAAATTCCCTAGAAAACTAAGCATATTAAACAACCATAAAGTTGGAAAATGGAATCCATTTTCCAACTTCCCTAGAAAACTAAGCATATCAAACATAGCCTAAGAGTCAATATACCTTCAAAAAACCTTAATACATTTAATGCCTCTACAGTACCATAAGACATCGATTTTTTGACATACATACCTCAGTTGCAGGGCGACTGTAATCAACGGGATCTCTGCCAGTTATTGCTTCCAAAAGCACAACGCCAAAGCTATAAACATCACTCTTCTCATTTAGGAGGCCACTGTTTGCATATTCCGGAGCCACATATCTGTGGTAAGCGAGGTAATGGCCATACAGGAAAAAGATCAGATTTCCAAATTTAGGAGATTCAAGTTTTAAAACATCTACTCTACAAAAAGAGAAAGTGAACTAGTCCAATACTGAATCATAGGTATCTCTTAGACGAATACTAACCCAAAGGTTCCCATTACTCTAGTAGTGATATGACTCTTTCCAGCACCCAGCAACTTAGCAAGGCCAAAATCTGATATTTTAGCATTGAAGTCCTCATCAATCAATATATTGCTCGACTTAATATCTCGATGCACCACTTTGGGCTCAATCGCCTCATGCAGATATGCAAGACTGAAAGAGTTTCATCAAATTTATATTAAGAAATGGATGCCTGCAGGTAATCTAAATTCATAAATACAGAGAGATGCAGACTCACGCCTTTGCTGTGCCAAGGAGAATCTTCATACGAGCCTCCCAAGTGAGGTATCCATGCTGGGACATAGCTCCATGGAGCCACTGCTCTAGATTGCCATTATTGACGTACTCATATACCAATACCCTAATTTTTTATTAAGTATAGAGAAGAAACGGTAAATAAAATCATATATAGTAGCTAAAATAACTTTTCAAGGTCGTTATCAAGTATGCAACGTGTTCACCATTTACATTAGACAACTCCACTAATAGAGAGGAATTATACCTATGCGTTCCTTCAATACAATAACCAAGAAGCCGAACTAAGTTTTTATGCCGAACGTGACCAATAGCCTCGACTTCCACCCTGAATTCCTTCTCTGCTTGTCCTCTACACAGAAAGTATCACAAACGTCAAATCATGTACTTGTAGAAACAAGAATTCGTTTTCTTTTTCACAAATTTGATGAAACCATTGTAAAACTTACAAGTTATTTAGGAGCCTTTTCACGGCCACAAAAGTACCATTGACCAGTTGGCCCCAATAGACAACTCCATATCCACCCTCCCCAATAATATTATCCCTTGAAAACTTGCCCGTTGCATTTTCTAGATCCCTCAGGGTAAACCAATGACCCCAACCAAGGTGAGAGAGCTCAGGTAGGCCAGCTAGAGGGGAAGACACAGTTATAGGATCTGAAGAAGGACGGTATACTGCTACAGAGCACTTCTTCTCCACAGATTCAGGCGCAGCATCATCTTTCTCCAGGTAATTAAACGAAACGGATTGACTGCTATTATCACCGTTCTTTGCCTTCTCATCGCTAAAGCGTGCCACAAGCTTATCTGAGTCTTTTTCATTCTTGCCCTGGACAGTGAAGAAATCCCTGCCATTGCCAACATAGTGGTTGGCTGAATATTGATCTACCCGTATCTCTTTGATTTCCTCAGATACATTTGGAATCTGGCTTATGGGAAGTGTATCACTACCCCTTTTTGACTTCTTACGTGATACGCAAAACAACAACAGCAAGAGAACCAATACAGAAAAGATGCCCAAAAAGATTGCAATTAAAACCCACACCTTGAGATGAAAGATGTGAGTTTTCTTTGACAAACCAAAACTAAGATCAGAACTCATTTTGCACCAAAATGCCTGCCACATAGAAAATTAAACATTCATAAAAATACAGAAACACTTATATGCATTCAATCCAATTCAGCTGAGTTTGATTTTTTATTTCAAGATTAGCATCACTTAAAGCAATCAATAATAACTATAGTGAACTAAATGAACAAAATTTTCCTTTTTTTCAAGTTAAATAATGGAAATTGCATATAATTAAATTAATGCATAAAACCCAGAAAAAAAGTGATACGTTCAAAGTGTTGAAATTTTACCTGTCTTTGATGGAATTCAGATATTAAAATTGCCTTAAGAAACTCAAACTATAAAGCCCAGATCTCTTACAATGCCATTGCCGAAGTATCCTTTCAGATAGTTCATCTAAATTCCCTCAATAATTGCACGTTTATTGCAGGAATTGCCAAAAGAAATCTTTAATTTGAAGTTGGAAGGGAATTGCAGGGAAACCCAGAACACAAAATAACCCAACAAAGCACATGGAATTCTGGCAAATGTGCAATGTGGAACAATAAATTTTTGGAATGAAGATATATTAATAACAAGGCCTGGAGGAGTTTTCAGTCTGCAGTAAAAGAGAACGCGTGAAAATGAAAATTTGCAGCTACTACTTTTTCCTTTATTTATCAGAAAATGATTTTTTTCAATGTGATTCTGACTGTTTATCTGTAAATTAATTAGCATAATATCACTAAAAATTCAAAAGAGAATCAATGATGTTTATTGGAGACAACTGACAAGCAATGAGTGTGGATTAAGAGGTGATCAAATGTAATTTAATGACAGATTAAAAGGTCAAATGAACAGACTGGACAACAAACGTTTGATTACGATTAATTGCTTCTGTCCCTCCCTCTTGGTTTTAATTTAATCCCATTAACCTTTTTTGAGTTTTGAAAAACTTGTTTCATCTTTCTTTCCAATAATTTAAAAGGATTCTTGGGACATGTAACTGAGTAGGCTGGAAGCCAAAGAAACAGATTGGATAACATCCTTAAATGCCCTTGTTTTCTTTTAGGAATTGTAAAATTGCCCCATCCTCCTTGTTGGAAGGATGTCAATCTTGGTGCTGTATCGGTGTCCGAAAGGGAAAACATATCATCCAAATCTAAGCATGTGATCTCCTCTGCAACTTTTTTGATCTCTCGATACACATTAAAATCGTTGCATTCTCATTTGCTAATCGAATTTAGATATTTTTAGGGTGTCAAAAGTTTAGTGGTGTACCATAGATCTCAACTCTGCACTAAATTACGAATTAGAAATTAGTAAAATATTTGTGAAGACAATGTTTGAAATAATTGAAACACTTAAGACATGTTTGATACATTAGAGGTGGTAACTAGTAATATACTCTTTTATAACATATCAAATATATTTAAACAGTCGCATCGAATTAATTAACCAGTAAATGTGGTACAAGCAGAATGATTATCGTCGTATAAATCACAACTTCTTGTTTCATTTCTTGCACATTTTAACCTTTTTCCCTTTCGCAATGTTTTGGGTAGTGATGGCAAAAAAACCAGCGTGGCCTTGCCCTGAATGGGGCGAAAAAAACTAGCCCCGACGGGGCCTGGACCCGCCCCGTGAAAATAAAAAATAAAAATTATTTTGAACATTGTTTGTTTTGAACATTTTTTGTTTCAAGTGCTTGTTTTGGATATTGATGTAGTTAGTTTGAGCATTATTTGTTTTGGATTTTAAAATTTAAAATTTGTATTTTAAGTGAAAATTAAAAAAATAAAAATAAACGGAGCAGGAAATGGGACAAGTTCGCGCCCGCCCCGCCTTAGAAGGGACGGGGAGGAGGAGTTAAAGTTAAATATGAGAAACCCTTTTTCGTCTTTCTTCTTTTTAAATTTTTCGACTCCAATTCTCATCGTGCAGGGCTAAACATGTCGTTTCTCGAGCATTAATTGTGGAAAAAATGTATTTTACAAGAAGTTGGGCGGCATTTATATATAAGTTGTAACTGTCAAACCGACATTAGCATGCTGTGTGAGGGGATAAAATTGTAATTAAACAAATAAATAAAATTGCAATTGGGCTAAGTATTTATCAGGGTTATCAAATTATCATAAATTAAAAGTTGACATCCCCTAAGGTCCCATTAAATTAATTAATCTACACCTATATATTAGTATTAGTCTCTTTCTAAAATTTAATCAAAATTAGATTGCGTGAAGATTAAGGAATCTTTATATTAAAAATTGTATTTTATCATATATTTGGTAATAAAATAGTAAAAATAAATTTAAAAAATCAAAGTGTACCATTAATTGCATTATTATTAGTAATATGAGATGATTTCTGCATACAATTTCAGAACATCGTCTCTTTTTAGAAAATAAAAGGACACAAATATATTTTTTGACATCTCGATGTTTTCCTGTTTATTAAAAAGAGATGATGTATCGAGGTATTAAAAAAAATTATAAATTATATTCTTTTATTTTAATTACTTAGAATTATGTGTTAATCGAATTAAGTTTTAATCACTTAAAAGTTAAAAATCGAAGCTCATCTATACATAATCATATTTTATAATTATAATAAAATAATTAAGAATTAAAATTCCATTTGAAATTGTATAGAATAACATTTAAAGGTGAAATAACAGTTACATGAAAATAATTAAGAGTTATTGCATTGATATATTTGTAACCTCTGTCCAAATGTCTCTCTTTGGAATTAGAAAGAAAAATGTAACATTTTAAGATTTATTTTCTTTTTTTGTTTTTCTGCATTAAATATTAAAGAGGAGAATTAGTTTTCAGAAGCAGTTGATTAATGCACTATAGTGGACTTTTATTAAGGTCCCGTTAGGGAGGGATTAAAATCCAATTAAAATTGAAAATATGGTCGTTATTGGGTTTCACTCGTCTAATAAAAGTCAACAATAACGGCTATATTTTCAATTTTAATTCGATTTTAATCCCTCCCATACAAGGCCTAGTATTTCTTATTTAGTTTTTTATTCTCAGTCATTGAATTGGTTTGGTTACTAATATAATTCAACTTCGAATATACTTTTAGTAAATTATATTTTTTATGGTATGTAAACTTATTTTAAAAAATGTTAAAAACTATTTTATTTCAGTGTTCTAAAAGGTAAAAAACGCCAAGCCAGTCTAGCAGTCAACGACAATCGTTGACTGCTAATGCCTTTTTTTTATTAAAAAAATTACAATTCTTTTAAGTTAAAATTTAAAAACTGATTTACATTTTAAATTTATCTTTTCATTGAAAACTTTGGAAAAATGTATAAAGTTCCTATAGTTCTGTTTTAAATATTTGTTAGATACTGTTATTAATTATTAAATAATTTTTTGATTGATTAAAAATTAAAATAAGAAAACTTCTTTTTGCGCCTAAACTTGCCTGGCCCACAGCTTTGCCTCAACGTATTGTCATGCATTACGCATTTTAGAACATTGCTTTAATTGCTCAATTTAATATATATTTTTTTCAAAATTTTTAAATTTTTCTAATCTTAAATAAATTAAATCAATAAACTTTCATTTTTAATCAAATCTCTTTCTCAATAAATTTGAGATTGACTAATGAATCAATGAAAAAATATTTTTTTCTTCCCATTTTTTTTGTTGAAAACGAATAAAATGAAAATGTGTTGTAATGATTGAAGTCCATATTTATATAAACTAACTACGTAGTGCATTAATGAAATATACTATTATTTTAATCTTAATTATTATTTTGTGTGAGAGAGAGAGAGAGAAAGAGAGAGAGAGAGAGAGCGCATTTGGGCTGCAATCATTTGAAATCTAAATGCCAGTTTGATCCGTGTTTTAGTTTTAATTTTGAGTTGATTTTTATTTTTTTGTTTTGATGGTCCGTATTAAGATTGCTAAAACGTATTTTGTCATTTAGAAAAATTATTTTAAAAATTAAAAAATTAGATAAGAAGTTTGGTTTTGAAATTTTGAAAATCATTTTATGACATTTTATTCAATGAAATTTGATTATTCAATAAAAATAGAACTATTTTATGTTAATATATTATTAAGTAATATATACATTTTAAAGATTGTGAATATTACAATATTTTTTCTTGCAAGAACAGTAAAATAAAAGCAAATAAGAAATTGAGTTCAAAATATAGGAATAAAAATATAAATTCAAGAAGAAATAATTTTTAATACACCTATGTTTTACCATGACCATTAATAAGTTGAAGGACAAATAATATTTATTGTTGGAATATACCTTCCCGAACATATATTCTCTCATAAGCAACTATATGTCGCACTTTCTCACAGATTTTCAATGAAAACAACAAAAGTTTTCGTAAAAGCGGAAAATAAAAAGGACAAAAGTTGTAAGACTTTGACAAACAATATTGTGCACAAAGAAGATTTATTGTAATCAAAATATTACATTTCTGTTTTTTCAACATCTTTACAAATTTAATTTTTTTTTTTTAACAAATATCAATTACTTGAATTACTTTTAAAAAATGCATCAATACTTAGAGAGTGTTTGAGCCCCATTCTGTTTTAAAAATATATTTTGAAATAGTAGATTGTTAAAAAAAAAAAATTTAACAAATATCAATTTTTTTTTTAACATCTTTAAAAATATATACATAATTTCATAAAAATAGTTTTTATATATACAAATTTAATTTTTTTTTTTAACAATATCAATTACTTGAATTACTTTTAAAAAATGTATCAATACTTAGACACTGTTTGAGCCCCATTCTTTTTTAAAAATGTATTTTGAAATAGTAGATTGATGGAAAATGTGTGGTTAAAATAATAAAAAAAAATTGATTTATGTGTAATATTATTTTAATGAAGAATGTGTGGTTGAAAAAAAAATGCCTTAAAAAATATTACGCATATCATTCATCATATACATAAGATGTGCTCTAAGTACTAGTAATTTTAGAAACAAGTTAAAGATGTATAATAGCGGATTAGGGACATCAATCAATACTTACATCGTACCATATTAATGAAAAAAAAAACATAAAAACATACGTTTCATGTTTTTGTTTCACCAAAATGCAAATACCAAAGAGTTGAGAAAAAAAATACTATTTTCGTTAACTTCAATGTTTACATACATTTGGAAAAGAATAAAATAGTGGTTCCCCATAGTACATATAGTAATCAATAATGAAAAAGAATTGCAGAATTGAAAAAGAAAAAAATTGACTGAAGATAAATGCGTGTTGAGCCAAATAAATAAAGTAGGCCCCTAACATTTAAAATGCGGGTAAGAGTTGGCGTACACGGTATAATTGTACATGTCAAGAATCAAAAGATCCCTGCTTTGAACACATTAAGGATTCGTTTGATTGTAAGTATGGAAAATGGATGGAAAGAAAATAAATTCCAGAAAAAATAATTATCTAGAACTTATTTTCCAGGAAATTGTTAATTAAGTATGTTTGATTGATATAATTTTTCACCCAAAAAATTTTAAAATTTTGAATCTTTTTGTGTTCGTTTGACTTTGTTTTATATGAAAATTGTCCATTAAGTGATCATTTTTTTCATAATTGGTTATAAAATTTGTTTTCATTGCCAAAAAGTAAAAAAAATCCAAGAAAATTATTTTTTATCAAAATTTAGTGTTTGTTTGGTTTTGTTTTACATGAAAATTGTCCATTAAAATGATTTTTTTTTTTGACAATTGGTTATAAAATTTGTTTCGATTGCCAAAAAAAAAACCAAAAACAAAAACAAAAGCTATAAATTTATTTCTCACCAAAATGGTGGGAAACCAAATTCATCAAAAAGGTAGAAAATGTGCACGTGTAGGAATAAAGTGGAAAATATGAATGAAAAAAAAACCTGACAAAATCGATACCCACGGGGCCCTGCCCCGAATGGGGCGGGGATAACCCGCTTAATCGGGTAACGTTGCTGGGAATAACATGCTTGAATAATTTTATGGAAGTTATTTATTGGCTAGCTTTTCTATGAAAAGCAAAAGCCTTGTCAAATTGGTTTTTAGGCTAGCTTTCTCTAATCAAACGAGTACTTTCAAAAAAAATATTTAAATACGTTCAAAATACATTATTAATCTCAAAAGTAATTTTTTACATTTCAAAAAGAGTATT